TGGAAACAGAAAAAATAAGAGCTTGTAAGTCCTGAACTTTTTTCATGCCACAAATCAGTATTGCTGCAGTTTAACTGTCCAGTATCTGTTTTATGTTGTTTATTGCACAGCCTGTTTTGGGTGAATGAAAAAAAAAAAAAAATCATTGAAAACGGAAAAATAACCACCTGGAAAGTAAGAAGGTTTAATGAAGGCTTTATTGTATTTCAAGTATCTGAAAAAAAAAAAAAAAAAGAGGAAATAGTTCTTCTTGGCTTCATGTAGGACAACAGATTTCAAAGCACCTGAAAGCCTTTAGGTGATGGTCATTAGCTCTAATAACCAGCCTCCTCAGACAATTGTTGAGTTGAAAGGGTTGTTCTTATCTGCTAGTCTGTAGTGCCCAAAATGGTTAACTAAATAACTCTAAAACCAACTCAGAGTTTCTTATTAAGTTAATTAAAAGTGAAAAAACTCCTCTAAGCTATTTGTGGTTTCCATGAAAGAAGGGCATAAGTCTCCACAGGGCTGGTGGTGGTTGTAAAACCCATCAAGTCATTTCACTTTGAGCAGATAAGCAGTGTATACATCCATATAGGCTGAACTGCACTGGATTTCTCATGCCCCAAGCTGGACATGTGAGTTGAGGACTTTATGGGACAGAGATTTAATGGAGCAGGGAAGAAGTATTACAAGTGGTCAAGGTTACCTGTAAAAAGCAGGGAACACAAGACTGGAATGGAAGACCAGTAAAGGACAGGGTTGAAGAGAAGAAATGACATTTGTGACAGCCTTGGTATATAAGGTCTTTCAAGATAACACAGGAGTGGAAGCACCATGGGAAAGGAGATAGGGGGTTGAAGAATGAATGAATGTAGAATGAGATGCACAAACCTGACTCTTACCTCTTTGACTCCTCGTGTAGAATGGTCTGTGTAGGAAAACAGTACCCTCTTGTATGAATTAAATCTATCAGTAAGAAGTCATAGAATTGCAGAATCACAGAATGGTTTGGGTTGGAAGGGACCTTTAAAGGTCATCTAGTCCAACCTGCCTCTCATGGGCAGGGACATCTTATTTTAGATCAGGCTGCTCAAAGCTCCATCCAACTTGACCCAGAACACTTCCAGGGATGGGACACCCACAGCTTCTCTGGGCAACTTCTTCCAGTGTCTCACCATCCTCATCACAAAAAATATATCCCTATATTCCATGTAAACATACCATCTTTCAGTTTAAAACTGTTGCCCCTTCTCCTGTCTCTACAGGCCTTGGTAAAAATGATCTCTCCCCCTGATCATCCTCATAGCCCTTCTCTGGACCTGCTCCAACAGGTCCATGTCTTTCTTGTGCTGGTGACCCCAGAACTGTACACAATACTCCAGGTGGGGTCTCTCAAGAGCAGAGTAGAGGGGGAAAATCCCCCCCCTTGACCTGCTGGCCACACGTCTCTTGATGCAGCCCAGGATACAGTTGGCTTTCTAGGCTGTGAGCCCATGTTGTTGGCTCATGTCCAATTTTTTTCCACCAGGATCCTTAAGTCCTTCTTTGCTTTCAATCCATCCATCCCCCAGGCTGTATTGATACTGGTTATTGCCTAGACCCAGGTGCAGGACCTTGCACTTGGCCTAATGAAAGTGCAATGAGGTGTAACAAACAATGAAAGATTTTGTACTGAATTAATCTTTCTCAGTTTTAATGTATACTTTATTGTTATTGTATTTCTTATCAGAAGATAAATAAATAGATTGCATGAGAGTTTAAGGGGGAGAAGGACCATCTCTGGTGAAGAAAACCTGCTTAAGGTAGATAAAGTGTTTCTCTAGATACATAAATGATTCTCTGAAAATACATTTCTGAAATAGACTGAAAGAAAAATATTGGCTGTGAGCAAAAGAAGACATAACAATGAAACAACATTTATAAAGGGGGCAGTATTTAGCACTGGGAATCATTTAGCAAATGTGGGATTTGATTTTGCTAGGAGCAAAGACGTTTCAGATTTTTGAGCAGTAGTTTGGCTGGGTGTTCAAATACAAATTTCTAAATGATGGTGTATGAAATCTTTTCCACAATGTTGTGCTTGCCAAAATCTTCACTTGCATCAGGAAGTCCAGGATTTTACTTGTTTGTTTCTGTGCTGGTTTTTAGGCACTAAGCCAGAAATAAGCAAGAGTATAACTTCAGATTTTCCTTCATCTTTCCTCCTTCAGAATGGACTTCCATGGTTTGGGTGACACCCATTAAAGTTTCATAGGAACACAAAGTTACTCATCAATAGTCAGTCTAGATCTCCTAAACTGATGTCCTCTAGAGATCAAGGGCAAGGCAATAGTTTCCTCTGGGAAAGAGATCACAGAAACCTTCAATTACTCTATCATTGTGTCTGAGTGAATGGAACAAAGCAAGGTGAATTTAGAGAAAATAAAAACAAACAAAACTTTATGTAACAGAAATGCTATGGAAGCATCTGTCATATTACAGTAGAAAGAAGTAAAAAACTCAGATAAAGCTATTTTTTTTTTCCAAAATAGTTCATTTATTGTATGTGTCAGAACAGCCCCTATACTTCATTTAATAGAAATAATAGGAATTCTAGGCTTTTCTTTCTAATTAAGGAAATATCCATAGTCCAGTGCATAAATGACTCAAATATCACAGGGAAGGTAGTCTTAAGAATATGAAGGGAGAGTGTTAGATGACTGAAAAAGTGACATAGTGACTTTCAGTCAATAATCTTCTGGTGGCTCATTTAAAGCCTGCTGAAGTGAATGCTTTCTATAGGTTTTTATATTTAGCTTTTCAGAGGATGAAATATTTTTAACCATGAAAAAATTACTTTCTAGATTTTAGAGGTCAGTCCTATATTGTTGTGGATGGTCCCAGTTTCATAAAATGTAGGTAGTAGCTGCCTTGAAATCAGCTAAAGTTCTTGTCATCGCTATTCCTGTTGGAAGGATTCTCTAGAGAATTAATCCTACTGTACTTACAAAAACACCCCATTCCCTCCCTGTACTTAATTCCTAACTGGGAAAGCTATTTTTATTAAATACAAAAGCAACCAGTTTGTCTAGATACGAAGCAGCTTGAATCCTTCATTTCTGCAATTAATGCAATCTGAAATCACCAGCTGAAACTTTCAGAGTCAGAAGTTCAATCTGGATGAAAGTGATCACCACTCTGCTTTTCCAATATAGAACCCACATTTAGTCACAATTCATTTTAGAAATACTAAAGGTTTTTTAAGCTGTTATTGCACTTTGTACAGACATGAGTTATCTGAAGTGTCAGGTATACACAGTAGCTATTAATAATGTCTGGGTTTTAGTGTTTTTTGTTTGCTTGTTTTTTGCTTGGGTTATTTTTTTTTTGTTTGGGGTTTTTTTGTTGTTAATGGTGGTGGTTTGTTGGTTTTGTGTGTGGGGGGGTTTGGGGGGGGTATTTTTTGTTTTTCTTTTTTGTTTCCTTTTATGTTTAATGTGGGTGACATATGGGGAATTAGGGAATTTCTGGGCTCCTTCCATCAACTACTTTCTATAATTAGTGACTAACAACTATCACCTTCTTCCGGGTAAGATACAGAAGGGAACCTTTAACGTGCTAAGCAGTAGGTTACACAATCCTTTTGATCAAAGAAACCCTGAGGTGCACAGATGATGTGTACCAGAGCTCCCTCACTTTAGGATGAAAATTAATCTGTTTCAGCTGCTTCCTACACATACAAATTGGGGAATTGATCACTGGAAGTATAGAATACAGTAGTCTGGGTAAGGAACTAAGAATTTTATAGGAGAGGACTGGTGTAAACGTTCACTTCATCTGTTGTGCATCTGGGCCATGGCAGATTTCATTGAGAAATTTCCTACTTGTAGAGTTTTGAAATAACGTGATTTTAGAGTGGTTGGTTTAGAAGAGGAGTAGAAATTGGTGAAGAGGTTATTTCTGAGCAATTCCCCATCACTAAGAACCACGTGTCTGTTGTGGACTGAACCTGTTCTGCTATAAAGGGAAAGGGCTTCTTCCCTCTCTCCCTGCCTTCTTTCCCTCTGCAGCCCCTGTACCACCCCAAATAGTTCCCTCATCATGCCATCCCTGTAAGACCTGGATCCAGCTCTGAGGGTGCTCCACCTTGCAGTGTCAGAGCCAAGGACCGTGGTTTGGGAGCCTGGTGCGCTGCTGACTCTGTCGGGACCTCCTCTCCCACTTTGTCACTGTTACAGTGTGCCCAAATCAAACTCTCTCTGTTATTACTCACATTAGAGCTGAAAAAATGAACTAGCTGGTGTCTGTGTATCATATGTAGGCTCTTCTCTCCCTCCTTCTGTAGGTGGTGTGAAAGGTAGTGTTAGCTTCAGTGCCTTTGCAAAGCCTGTGCTTGCTGACTCCCACTATTGTAAACCTTCAGCTTGGTATCCACTCTCCAGGCACATAAATGGTGCAAACCCAGAAGCAGTGGTAGGAGGACACCTCTGTTAACACTTGATCCTTATGTCATTAAAAGGATCCCCCCTTCCTGCTGTGTATATCTTTCCGAGATAAAACAGCTCTGGAGTAGGCTGCAAGGGATGACGTGGATGAGAAAAAGGGACATCTTGTGATCTTGTGTGTCTTAACATTGCTGAGAATGAGTTGGTGCTCTCCGTCAGTCACCGTGAGACACAGAGGGTGTTTGTGACTGCTAGCTGCACAGAGGGCACGTGGCATGGCAGGGCACCTGGGCACCCTGGCTGGGGCAGTGGGGCAGCTCTGGGTGGCAATGCACAGCCCAGCTGCACCCCCACAGAGCCCCCACTGCTCCCAGCACCTTTCCAGCCTGATATTACTGCTCACTGTCACCCAGATTTGATTTTGCTGCAGCACAATTAGAAAAGTGCATGGGTATAATTGAAAGAACAAACTAAACTAGTCAAGGCAAACATCAAAACGTGCATAATCCTGAAAACAGAGGTAACACACATGACTGAACAATACACATAAATACAATTCAAACATATAAAATATTCAATAAATAGAAATCAATATTGCCTTTTCGTTGCTAGGATTTCTTCTCTTGCTATCATTGAAAGACACTTTAATAACAAAAACAGGTTACACTGGTAACATTTCATATGAAAACGAATAAGGCTGCAGAGTCTGACAGTGATCTGAAATGAAAACAGTTTCTTACAAGCCCTCTCCTCACTCTTCCCCCCACTGAATCCACTTTTCTGTGGTTTCTGATTAATTTGTAGGTGTCTAAACATTAGAGTCTAAGAATAATCTAGAACCTCCAAAAATTTATAGATACTTTAGAAACCTTGTTTTATTACTTTAAATTTTTACAAATCAAAGTCCAGAGAACAATAGGGGTGTTTTTTTGCTGTTTACTGCAGAAGTCATGCCAGCTGCATCACCTACACGGTCTTTCAAAATCATTAATTTTTCATGGATATACCAGGGATATTGACAATCTTAGCATGCGCAGACATACTTGAAAAGTGCAGTACAGGAAGACAAGATCTTTTGGACATGCCACAGCAATACAGATCTGTTTTAGAGGCGTGTGCATCAGCATTTCAAAAACCACTTCCATGATGTATTATCACATTCTACAAATAATCTGTTATCACTGATAATCTTTGATAAAGCAATTTCCATTTCAAAGAGTTGGTGTTAATTTTTCAGCTTCCTCTTATAACACCCTCATGTCCTTCACATAAAAAAGTTAAAGTACATTTATTTTGAAACAAAAGATAAAGTGACCCAATGCTACTTTAAATAATGCACTTTCACATACAGAAAGTCAGATGGACAAAAATGTATTCAGCATAGTTCTTAAAAGTCATAGCTTCATCTCTTCTTAAAATAACTTTATTCTTTGATACTGTTCAGAGTCCTGGAAGCAACTGAATGTTTTGCTGCAATGTGTTACATAATGCGTCAAAGAACATCCAGTCTTTACAGACATCTCTTGTTGTGGGGCAGATTTTGGTCTCACTTGATGCTTTTGACACTAGTGTGTTCTGCTTTTCTCTGGCATTTCCTCTGGCTTAAATTTTGTACTACAGACCAGAAGTAAACCCTAAAACCCCCACAGAACCTCATGACAACCTATAGTAACACCTTTTTTCACAAGGAGGGCTATGTTTAAAAAAAGGATTTATGTGTTTAGCTTTCTTTAAAAGTGTCTAAGCCCAAAATTTAAATATTCAGAAGCTCTCTGCTCAGTTTCGTCTTAGCCTGTAGGCACTGAGGCTTTTAGCATTCCTCAGGCACTGAACCTCTGTGCAGACAGCGTTCAGCAGTGTGCGTGCCTCCTTTGATTAAGCCCCTTTGGGTACTTCTTGCATCAGCCTCCTCAAAGACAACCAGAAAATAAGCTGATGGCCTTCCCTCCTCTCATCAGGCAGCTCAGTGTGGATAGTCTTCCTTTTACCCATGAAGTGATTTCATCCCACATCTCCTACCATGGTGCTTTACCTCCTAAGTTACAAGACACTCTCTGGTGGAACTGTTCTTGTTCACTCCTATTGAAGCCACTCCTTTCAATGCCCATCCTGCAGCAGGAGCTCCATCTGTTCTAGAGTATCTTTGGAATAGCTGTTGTGCTAGCAGCACAGTGTATGGGAGTGCACAGAGACTCACTGGGCTTGGACAGGTCTCTGAGGTCCTTCTAAAAGGTGTGTTCAAATTTAATCTAATTGTTGGTATTCCTGCTTGTACTCTAGCTGATATTCCTTCTGTTTAGATTGCTGTCATTTCAGCCTCTCATGCTTGAAGTATCATTAGTGACTTATTCTATATAATCTTTGCTAGCTTTCATCTAGCAGAGTCATTTAGCAATAAAGTTCTTTGTTACTCTTCTTATTGCTCTTAGACATATCTGTGAGCAACTGGGAGTGAAGCTTTGTTATGCTGGCTCTGAAAAACAAGCAATCTAAATATCTGAATCCCCCAAACAGTGGGGAAAGAGAGACAGCTCACAAGCAGAGTTTGTCTGTTAGCTGGTGACAGCTTGGGTAGCTTTTGCAGTGGTTTCTCTTGTTTGGACTTGCCATCTGGCATCTCCCTCCATTTCCTTTCCCCCAAGGCACTGTGGGCATTTGTGCATTTGTGTCAGAAAGTACCATCTAATCTTTGTTCTGACTGGGTGGGAGACCCATGCAGACACATGCTCTGACTGACAACAGTGACCCTTTTCCTTGATCCTCACAGGGCAGCTGTTGCTGCTTTAGCTGCTTCTGTCATTTCTCACCCACCAGACTGTTGTGCTGCTGCTTCGCAACAGGATGAACATTTCTCCTTGAACTTGTTCATTGGTTCCTCGTAACAGAGCAATGTAACAACAGGCTGCCAGGTCAGATGCATGGATGGGACAATCTCCAGGCTGCAATGCCAGAGAACTGAAGTACTACATAGTCCATTCACGGAGTAATTATGCCACAGAAAGTACCTAGGAAGACACAGAACAAGTCCACTTAAACATTTAGCTCATTTGATCCAGCAATTTACGAAGAGTTTACATTTTAAATAACAACTCAGGAGTGTTCCTTTTCTTTATTTAGAATGTGCAAAAAGAACAGCTGATCCCTACAACAGTGATTCATCGTGATAGTGTGATGTAGTTGCATACACAGACCATACAGCAGAAAATGAGGATTTAGGGATTGAGGTGTCTAGTGGGAGAATATAGTGCAAATGCTGATCAAAGTTCATATGTTGGGGGTTTTGTTTGTTTGTTTGTATTTAAGTAAATGATTTGCATTAAGACTAATCAAAAGAAAGCATCTGCTCTTCATCTGTGTACCGATTCTTAAATGGTACTGAAAAGTAACAGTAAAAGAGAGATGAATAATAGAACAGGGACATTTTAAAAAGTCATGGTTTGGTTTTTCAGGAATAGTTTGCTTAGGAAAAACTGTTAGAAACAATGTACTTGTTTCTACTGGTAGGAAACGAAACTGTGATGTTATTACTCACCCCTTGTATTCTGTCGGTGGGCCTCTTCAAAATAGTACGTGTAGCCAAAGGTTTGGGTTGCCTCCAGTTAGGTCACTGGGATGAGTTTCTCTGTTCACTTGAGCCTAACTTCAGAGCAAGTCATAGCATTTTCACTAGAACAAGAGGGATGAGGATTAGTGGACCTCTGTTATCTATTGGCTTACAAGGATTCAAATACTGAAGAGCAAGTATGTGGTTCCTCAGTATCACTTCTTACAGCTTGTAGCATTGACAGGACTGTCAGCAGTTTTCCTTGCTTTGCCCATGTCCTTTCACATTTTTTTTATCTTGAGGAAAGCTGAGTTGTATTGTTCAGACTATTTCTGCTGATTCTTAGACACCTTCTCTCTCCATAAATCCACAAAGTGAAGTGTGGTTTTCTGTCTGCTGGATCTCTTAATTGTGCAAAAATTACACCTCACATGGCCCAAGATAGAACATATCACTGAGAGATTGTTTAGTGTCTAACTTCTGCCTCCAGATACCTGCACTAGGGGCAGAGCCATCCTGTGTTAGTCACTGTCCATACACAACACAGAAATTCCCCTTGCCCAGGAGAATTACTCAAGTATAACCTGAATAAATGAACAGATGCAACAAACAGGAGAAAGGATATGAACCAACAGTGGAATAAAATTGGTTGGTAAAATAAATAATGGTCAAAGCATACCATCTGCTTTTCTGCAGAGCCTACATATCACTGAGCAATGGCTGGAGTGCATTTAAAAGCATTTGAGGAAAAATAATTACGGTTGCTGTGGTTTCTAAGCATTTGGGAAAGAATGGATTCCAGTTGTATCTGCATCTTTTTCAGTAACTCACGGGGTACTACAGTCCAAGCCTATTTTATTCTAAAGTGTTTATATTTTTGAAGCAGATTTATGGTGGACAAAGCAGCAGCTATGTTTATAATTCAGAGGCACAGCTCTGCTGTCAAAGCTCCAGGAAAAGCAGCTGTGTTGGAAAACTTTTTACAAGCCAATGACAATTTTTTTCTTTTCTGAAGAAGCATGATGCAAAACTGCTGTGACTTGTGATTTTGCATTTCTTTCTCAAAACACATGAAAAAATTGCTATCTTCAAGCAGGTGGTCATATGTTACATGGAAATAATATTTATTGAGAGGCATATCATTGGAATTTTACCCACATGAGATTAATGTGCCTCTGCTTCTTCTGGCAGCTTTGGTGGGAGTGGGGTTTGGATTGGATAAAGAATCAGTGCTGCCACTTGCTAATGGAAAATCATTATTTTTTTATAGTAAGAGGTATGATAATATCACAGGTACTATGAATTACTCCATTCCTTCCCAAATGTGTTAACAGCCCAGAACTTGGATGCAAAACAACACTCTCTAATTCCATGTCACATACTTCAATGAAATTGTCACTGTGATTATTGAGATCTGCTACATTATCAAGATGCTGCCAAAATCTACCGCATACTGTATTTGATGTAATCAGTTTTATCTGAACTGTGAGCCTAGTGGCAGATACAATTTCCCCCACCACCAATGGATTTTTATACCATGAACGTTAGAAAATTGCAGTCCTGTCAATTTGTTATTGTCACTAAGGGCAAGGCACTTCTGTATTCTTAAAATAGGATTAGTTTTAATCACTAGTAAGCTGCTTTTGTCACATATAACTCTAAGTTACAAACAGTAGAAATTAGAACTCAAAGTAAAAATATGATTTCCTGCTGTTTCCCTCCTTACACTCCATGTTCAGATACCACTGATCTTAAGTGCTTATGTTCTTTATCTCCATCCCTCCCCTCAAGCCCTCTTGTAGGTGCATTTCTTCAGTAATCTGGAAAAAAAAACCTTACTTGTTTATTTTCTAGGCTTTTTAAAATGAAAGATTGTAATAATCAAAATACTTGAAAGCTACTATATATCCCATGGACAGCATTGTAACAGAGGAATGAAGGAGTATGCAGAAATGCTGAGGATTTAGGACTCTCGGCTCTGGAAGCTAAGTTTCGTTCTCTAACCTCTGTCAAACTGTAAATCTTCAGGCCAGATTGTACTAGATATTGCAGTTAATAATCATCAAGGGACAAGTTTAAATTCTGCCCACCTGCTTTTCCGGTATATCAGCAAATATTTGGGTATTCAGCAATCTTTTGTGGGTTTTCTTTTTGTTAGTTTGGTAGGTTTTACTGTCAAATTAGATCCCAAGGGATCATCTGTTTATCAGTTTCCCAGTAGCTATCAGGTGTAGTCTGTGGGATTATCTGCTGTTATGCCACTAACTCTGTAAGAACCTCTTATTTTGTCACTTCTGATATAGCCTAATGAGACACAAGACTCTTACTTTTCTGTAACAATTTATTACTCTTCAGAGGGTGTGCTCTTAAATACGTTTTCTTTACACATGCATACCTCACAAGGGCCACATTCCCACCCTTTACTAGCATCTTTTATTGCTGTATACTTCAGATGATGATTTGAGACTTGCAGGAGTAGTTAAAAAAGGTAATTCATATGGAGGATGTTACAGGTGCTACGTTTTACAACAATTTTGAAGCAATAAAAGCTGAATAAAATTGCCAGAGTGATTGTTTTTTTCTAGGATGCCTAAAATCTATGACGGATGTGAAGTGTAAACATAGCAAGTGTTGTTCTCGGTTTTCATAAGTGAGCATTTTTTGGGTTCTCTAAAAGTGTGTGACAATCTACTCTCTAAGCTCTTCAGAGAAAGAGCTTGTGTAGTGATTTTGTACACAAGAGTGCAATTGGGCTGGGGAGAAATCAAAGCCTTTTCATCCCACTCTCCCTGCTTCTGTGAGAGAGAAAAACTCATAACACTTAAATTTAACCCTGGTTCAGGTTCAGTCTCTACCAACTACCACGAAGTCTTGGACCTTTGTTTCCCATGTTGCAGACAAATGCCAGAACTTCTTCAGATGACCATGTTCTGACATAGAATTCATCCTGGATCTACAAGAATTTTCATTGTTGCTTTCTGACATCATTTGTGAAGTAATTTTAATTCTTCTTACTATGGAAAGGAAATTTAGAGGTTTTGATCAGTAAGAAGTGAAAAGCTCTATCCTTTCTGTAGGAAATAACAGCCACTGGGAATTTTCCACACAGATAGGCCAGTTAGGCACTAGTCTAGGCACTAAAGTTTCTGCAACCGTGAAGGGGCAGTCACAATTTCACAGTTTAATTGCTTTGTCACTCTTAAGCCTGTTGGAATTACAAGTGCGTCCAACTTTCATCAGAAAATACTGTAGCCTGGTTTAATTTAATTTGTCACTATAGAAAAATACAACCAACCAAACAAAACAAAATCAAACTACTTACTGCAGTGGATTCACTTCTAATAAACTGAACATTTCTTTCCATGCAACTCAGGTAGCCATGGAACAAAATCACCGAACAGTTTTCATTTAAGTGCAGAGAAGATAAATACATTGAATGTGTGACTAATCAAGAAATCAGTTCCCATAGTAACACTGCCTGCTTGACAGTCCTTAAACTTAGCATCCTACAGGATATGTAAAGAATATCAACATTATTATTACTATTTTTGTATTGCTGCTGCACTATCCTAGCCCAAGATAGGAGCTCCACTGTGTTCATAGTGTAGGAACACATGTGAAAATATATGTAGCTCTTTGGGACACAAATAGTTTCCTGAATTGAGGAAAATATAAAATGAGTGTGATGAGCAATATGAGGGCTTCATAGCTAGCAATGCACACAGCGTGATGAGCATTCACCATAACCCTGGGATTTTTCCCTCTCTGTTGTAGCACCCTGTGCTCTCTTAGCATTTCTTTCAGCTCCCACTGTGGCTGCAAGGGATTTACCTGTAAATTTTGACTCTGTCTTTTCCTCTCATCTGTTTTGCTACTCAAGTTTGGTGACTTTTAAAAGACAAACAAAAATCCAGCAACTTGTCTTGCAATCCTCTTGGAAAAAGGCTTCTTTCCACAGGGTGCCTTCAGGCACCTTTGTGTTCAAGGTGGCTGATGTGCTGCCTGGCATCCTGTGTCAGGCTTTGGGCTGCACCACATCTTAACCATTCTGGAAATAAAGCTCTAGTTAATGAAAACAACCTTTACAAAACAAACAAACAAACAAAAAACCTACCAGGCTTTTTTGCATAAGCTAGACTTGTGTGTATTTGTTGATAAAATTTACATATATGTCTCCTGCATATTATCCTGTCTGGAGATGTGCAGGTCTTTTTCAGACCCACTTCTTCTTGCTCTTACGTGCATGCTGCTTTCCAACTCAACAACAACAACAAAAATCTGCAAACAAAGCTAGAGACAACTTTAAACAAACCTAGGCCCAGTCTCTAATCAGATCAAACCAGGTATCAAATCAACTTGGACTCTTTCTTGTTTACAGGGAAAAAATCAAATGAAACAGCAGAATTTTGCTAGCTAGTGGATACACACATCACCATTATTTTTAATTGACTACTGACTACTAGAAGGATTTTTTTTGAATCACTTAACTTTCATAAATAAAGAAGTCTGTGTTTTAGCACCCTCTTGGAATTAAAACCATAATAAAAACATTAAAATGCCAAAAATAAAGCATGTTAACCTACTAAATGAGAATAGAAATATGTTCAAAATTGCTCAAAAGCCATGCATTTTCCCTCTAAGTTTGATAAATCTCTCTTATTTGGAGCGTCCAAAAGAAGCTCTAAGGACAACATAAATTGGAATTTTTGGCTTTGATTAGCTAACTGATTTTATTGCCAGTATTGCTGCAATATCTTCATACAGACATTTTTGAGATTTTTTATATGTATGTTTACTTCCATTGATCTAATTCTGTTAATAAACCACTAACTAATCTTGAAGATTTCACTTTTTCATTTGTGTGACCAGTCCAGTTTTTTTCCTTGAGCTTTTTAAAGTATAATTTATTTCTCTCATCATCTCAACACAAAAACCTGTGTTTTTGCATGTCCTTTCTGGAATGAAATGCTACCATATCTCCATTTACATTGGAGGTATTTCCAGAATCTTTGCTAAACAAACTTAGCGTTCAGTGACCACCATTTAAGCTTACTTTGCCCACAGTTTAGAGTTGTGATGTGACAATGTGATGGCAGTCAGGTTCCTCCACTTCCAACTGGAC